ATTCTATTAAAACTTTTTATAGTTTTGTAACTTCCTGGTGTTCGTATATTTTATTCTTTAATGTGAGTCTACCCAGGAATCACCTTTTTGTTTTTAATATTCATATGTGTGTGTGTGTGTGTGTGTGTGTGTGTTTGTGTGTGTGTTTTCTGAGGTTTTCGTGGGTGTTTGTATGTAGGTCTTTGGTTGTTCGGGTTTTCTCCCGCGTAAAATTGGAAGTGTCTTGGCGACGTTTCGACGAAGTCCCATTCGTCATCTTCAGGCTGATGTTTACAGCTTCGTGCTTCGAGCAGCAATGTGTGGTCTTAGCTGTTTCTTCCTTTTAACTGCCAGTGGGGGTATGAACTGATTGGTTAGGGGCTTGGCTGTGCTCTGATTGGCTGGGGGTTGGCTGTGCTCTGATTGGCTGGGGGGTTGGCTGTGCTCTGATTGGCTGGGGGAGTGTTCTGTTTGGTTGTGCTCAGGTTAGTCTGAGTTGCAGGGGGTTTAAGATTTTGGGCTGCCTTGCTATTTTTGGCTTCGCGTTCGTGGTCATGCCTCATCTTCATGGAGGGTGTCAGTTTGCTTCATGTATGGATTGGAGGGGTTTAAAGTGGCTAATGATGCAGCTGTGGTCTGGCTTCTGGTTTGTGGTCGTGCCTCATCATCGGTGTGGCTTTGGGTTTGTTTTTTGCGTGGATGTGTGGTGGTGACATCCTGTGTGGTTTTTGTGAGTGTGGGTCTGGTATCATTTTTTGTGTTAGGGAGTCGTTTGTCAATAAGGGCGGGTTTCCAAATGGCTGGTAGGCGGGAGGTATCATCTCGCTCTAATCCATACATGAAGCAAACTGACACCCTCTATGAAGATGAGGCACGACCACGAACGCGAAGCCAAAAAATAGCAAGGCAGCCCAAAATCTTAAACCCCCCTGCAACTCAGACTAACCTGAGCACAACCAAACAGAACACTCCCCCAACCAATCAGAGCACAGCCAACCCCCCAGCCAATCAGAGCACAGCCAAGCCCCTAACCAATCAGTTCATACCCCCACTGGCAGTTAAAAGGAAGAAACAGCTAAGACCACACATTGCTGCTCGAAGCACGAAGCTGAAAACACCAGCCTGAAGATGACGAATGGGACTTCGTCAAAACGTCGCCAAGACACTTCCAATTTTATGCGGGAGAAAACCCGAACAACCAAAGACCTACATACAAACACCCGCGAAAACCTCAGAAAACATGTGTATATATATAGAAAGAGAGAGAGAGAGAGTTGTTTTCTGTGCGGGGTATGATAAAGGCACTTTTAATTCTGTTCTTTTAAGACTACACAGTGCTCACGTATGTGAACCTAGTGACTTGCTTTAGGGTTTTGTGAAATGTGCCTATTATACAGTTGCTGAAACTAGAGTGTTCACCGAGCATGAGCAAGAAAGTCAAGGATGTGATTGAAGCCTTGCTTATATTTTGCATGTGGAGCTTCAGTTGCAACACTGTGGCCACATTCTTAAGGATTTTCACCAAACCTTGTGGACATTCCTGATTAAAACATACTCTGAAAGCTACAGGAGTCTCAATCCTAAAGATGAGGTAGTTGCTATTTGTCGGATGTCCTTTTTCTGCTACTGACACTTTGCTGTAGGATATGTTTCTGCTGCTGTTCTCACCTCAGATAGTGCTGTTGAATATAACACTTTAACAAAATTGTGGCAAGCTGTGCAATCATATTTCAATTTCCACATTTTTCTCTGATTTTGCCTTCATTAAAAGTTAGCTAGTCAAACCTAACCCTAACCCACACATCTCTATTTACATATATAACAAGATGAGGGAGTTATACCAGAGAGTTATTCCATAAAAGTTTATATTCTGCTTTTTCTTCTGAATTATAAAATAGTGTAACATTTGCAAAATCTGCCTGGGGATTGTATATTAATATAACTCTCTACTGATGAAGCAGATAAATCTGAAAATTAAGAAAAAAGCACAAGCAGTGCATACAGTGGTTTGGTCAATCCACCACCTTTATCTCTTTTCTTTGTACACTTCTACTCTTCAGGAAAATTCTTGAGAAAATTATCAATTTTCTCAAGAGGAGGAGGAAGAGGGGAGCGAGGAAAGAGAAAACTGAGCCTATATTATCTGAGGATATGCCAAACCTCCAAATACTTTAAATAGCTGAGAGACAGTGTTTAATAAACCCTCCCTGTTAATAAAATAATATAGGATAAATGTCAATCCTGCTATTGATAAACTAGTACAGTGTCTGCAACTTGTGGCACATAATTCTGTTTTGAGGGGCTAACAGATGCTGGATTAACAGAGAATTCTAGGAACAACAAATATGCACATCATACTTACTTCATCATGAGGGCATTCCACACCTCTTCAGAATAACTGCCTGTGCATTTAAAACAATTTAAACTCAGTCTTCTTTTTATTCGGTCTATTCAGCCAAGGCACCAAGATAGCTTTTATGCTTTTTTAAAATGTGGTCTCCCCTCTGCATTTAAATAAAATAAAGGGGGAAGGAGGAAAGGGAGGAGGAGAAAAAGAGGAATAGAAAAGAGAGAGGAAGCAGAAGAAAGAGAAGAGGAAAAGAGGAAGAGGAGGAAGAAGAAGGAAGATGTAAGAAGAAGGAAGAAGAAAAAAGATGAAGAAGAAAGAACTTCTCCAGTATTCTGCTTCCTGCAGGGCAACATGTAGGGCATGAATATTTTGCTTTCATCTCTTTCCAGGAACAGATATTACAGAGATGCTCTTTCCACCTATTGAGGTTCCAGTGTGCACAGTGGGGAAAGAATGAGGGCTGCAAAGAAAATAAGGCATAGCCCATGTTCCTGTGTACAGAAATCCCTTCTTAAAGTGCTTGAATCTGGCAACAATCCACATTCTGCTCCTTTTAAAGACTCCCAGAGGATTAAAAGTGGCTTTGCACAGCCTGGTCCTTCTAAGTGTTTACCATGTCATTTGTTGTTACGCAGCACTTCAAATGTAAGTCTCCTCGGGGAAAATCAATCACTGAAACTGTGCCCACATGTAAACAAATTGTATTGTAGAAATAAACTGGAGACGTTGTCAAATTCTTTTCCCATCTCTGGGAAGCAAAATGGAGCAATGCCCCTCCTAGCTATTGAGAAATGGTACTTAGTAGAAATTAAAAGGCAAAAATGAAAAAGGCATGAAAAATGCTGCGCAAAAAGGGTGATGTCCTGAGGCTAGATTCAATAAACATTCCTTGCACTCCTTCTTGTCCTGGAAGACTGCCTGGAATTGATCGATGTGCGTTGATGTAGCCTTGCAACAACTCTTGTGAAAGAAAGCTGATTAGAATTATTTTTATTGATTCTGCTGCTGTATAATTTTTATAGAGCTGTTTAATCAAGGAAACTTAATACATATCATTAGAGCTGGGGTTTTTTTTCCTCGATGTACGGATGATCATTAGAAGATCACACTGTATACTGACCATCCAAATATTTATTCCTCCTAACATTGGAGGTGCTGATGGCAAAAGGCAGAAAAGAACAGATGGGGAATCCTGAATGTTTGGAGATATATTAACATCTGGAAAATATAATATGAGATACAGAGAGAGTGGTGGGGAGAGAGAGATGGCAGAAAGAAAACTAAAAAAATTTGCTTGAGAGAGAAAGGGGCTGAATCATTTCCACTCACTTTGGCTAAGGCCCAGCTACCATTTACCTCAGTGCTGTGTGAATGGTTTAGCACAGGGGTCTTCAAACTCGGCCCTTTTATGACTCATGGGCTTCAACTCCCAGAATTCCTCAGCCAGGCATGCTGGCTGAGGTATCTGGGAGTTGAAGTCCATGAGTCATAAAAGAGCCGAGTTTGAAGACCCCTGGTTTAGCACATTACCCAGTGATAACAATCCCTCTGACAGGAAAAAAAATCTGACCTTATTGGAAAATGCTTATATGCTAGCTAGGACTGCAATGCTGGTCCAGTTTCCAAGAAGAAGGAATGGGAAATCCTTCCTCTACTTTCTTCTGCAGGAAAAATATTTCAAGAAGAAGGGGAAAGTGACTTTTTGTAGGGGGCTATTACAAGGTAAATAAATACTGGCTGAAATCAAGTGTTCCTGGTTATAATCAAGTCATCCAAAGTAGCCCCACAATGAGATGAGCAGCAAATAAATTTAACAAATAAATAATCAGAAATATTTATCATTCCTTCCGATGAAAAACTGAAAGATGAAAACTCACATCTTTATCCATCTATAAGATGGAAAGCAATACCTGTTTGTGGGGATGTTTGTGTGCCCATATCCTTCCTGGCTGTATGCAACCCCTGAAAGTTGATGAATAAAACTATATCCATTACACTATGACATTACTGTAGTCTACAGCTCAAGAATAGGAAAGCCCAAGTTTCAACCTATGCTGGTCTAAAAAAATCCATTCTGTGATCTTGAACCAATCACTATTTTTCAGCTTAAACTAACTCATTAGACTTTTATGAAGATAAGATGAGTTGGATAAAATTCATGAACATTTATTGCAGGGACACTACAATAGTCAGTTTATTAGGGCAGACTCAGTAAAAAAAATGTTTCCTCCAATTCAGAACTGTATAAAATTATACATGAAGTCTCCAAAAATAGAAACATTCTTCACTGAAACCATTCCTTGATAAGTGGTTAAAAAAAAAAATCAGAATTCCTGAAATACATGCAGCTCTTTAAGACTAAATATTGTATCAGCCAAAACACAAATGTATAGCACATTAGAGTGCTAATACATTGCTTCAGAAATAGTGCTTCATGTTGAAGTTCTCAGTTTTGGTGGCTCATACAATTTATTTTCCTGGAGATTACAATTTTGGAACAAGGATAGTTGTTGTTTGGGAGTATGTGATATAGAATCCAATTCATCTGAAGGGTACTGGATCATTAAAGGTGCCTTAAATTGTTGACTATGATGACTTCACTAAATTAATTAGCTTAAAGGCATTTCATGAATAAGGAAATATTTAATTGTTTTGTGTTCTTTCATTTCAGTTTCTCCAAAGATAAGTCATATTTCAAATGATATTGTGGCAAATGAAGGAAGCAACATCACACTGGCCTGCTTAGCTACAGGGAAACCTGATCCTTCCATCTCTTGGAGACATATTTCTCCATCAGGTACACTTTAACAATTATTCTGACTCTAACCACTTCTATTTCCTTGTTCTCACCCTGTTGCATACAAGGCAGGAAAAAGTCTCAGAATTCATTTGCTCATGAACCTAGAATGCTGTTTCTCTGAGAAATTTGGAAGGAAAAAAAATCTCAAAACCTGTTTGAAAATCGGTAAATAAATCCCAGTCAATGAGACATAATGGTAAATCTGTGATGCAAGTGTTAGCAATTTTTTAAAAAATAGTCATTGATTTGACACTATTTTTTTAACTTTGAGGTATTTCTTTATTCTTCACTTGTTTTTATATGTAGGTTGAACAATTTTCTGGCCAAAGTATATGTATTATGTATAGAAAAATGAAAAAGGCTGAGAAAAAATTGCATTGGTTTTCAAATATAGTTTTCATACCATTCTGGGGGCAACATCTCTTGTACCAATATCCAGGAATACAAAAAGGGAGGTGACAGATGAGTAGCAGAGCACGAGATAGGCCACCTTTAGGAGAAGGCTGGGTAAATACTTGTCCTATGTATCAAAGTTTAGAGGGCACCAAATACTGCCTCTACTTCTGAATCATTCTAAAAAATGATTCTAAAATATTTTCAGTGGCCAGAAGTGGCACTATCAGTCAGTGTGGTTTAGGGGCCTCCTAACCAGCACTGAGATAATATCTTTGGCCAGTTATCCAGATGAGAACCAAAGTTTGGCCTTCCCTTGCAGCATGTCAAGAAACTGCAGTCCTGTTGCCTGATTTATAAAAAAGAATGATCTTTTTTTTTAATCTGATAGGATATGAAAATTATACATTGTATGGAAAAATGAAGAGTGATTTTGCATTTGCCTATTAACAACAAGAATAAAGTTAAGGAGATTCAATTAAGCAATCTTGGAAAGGGCTAGAAAGTGCCCATTACCTCTTTACTTTGTATTATGTACCCTCCCCAACCCACTTGGATGCTGAGGTTCTTTTGTTCAAATATACAGATTTTTTAAATATATATGAGTATGAAGAAATTGCCATTATAGTCATAAGCTCTGCTTTTCTCCACCTTTGAATAAAAGAGAACTGTAAAATCTGGAGAACTAGTACATAGCATCAAATAATGTCTTCGGCACTGTCTATTGTAATGATTGTCTGGAGTTTTGCATTGCCTAACTTTCTGTGATGCTTATTCAGCAAATGCATATGCACACACTTACACATACATATATAGATACACACACACACATATATATATACATCTATGACAATTCGCCGTGAGCAACTCGCCATGACCAATTCACCACGGCCAACTCGCCATGGCCAACTTGCCGCAACCAATTCTCCATGGCCAACTCATTGCAGGACAACTCGCTGTGGGACAAGAGTTATACTAATATCAAAGAAATGGCAGTGGTGAGTTGTCCCATTCCATATGCATATACATATACATATACGCATGCAGATTCACATATAGAAATACAGAGAGAGAGAGAGAGAGAGACAGAGACAGAGACAGAGAGAGACAGAGAAAACCACATATTACAGATCTGTAAGTCATTGGCAGAGCCTGCAGGTGCCCTGTGTTCAATAAACATACAAGGGAGATGATACTGGAAAATGAGTGCTATTTTTAATTTCACCTCATGCTGGGAGTTAATCAGGCTTTGGAGAATGGGACAGCAGCAGTTGTCCTTTACTTCACTGTTTCACAGATTCTGACATAAAAATGGTTGGCCTAAAGTGATGAAGCAAATAAAAGGATATTCTCCATTTCAGTATAGCTGGCTTCTGAACAGTGATGGCCTTTCAGAAAATAATCCTGTGGTTGCCCACTTTTGCTTACAACAGAAATACTAACTTACGACCATTCATTTAGTGATTGTTCGAACTTACAGTAGAACTAAAAAATGTGACTTACAGTTTTCACACATGCAACTGTTGTAGCATCCCCACTGTCATCTGATCAAAATTCAGGCTTTTGAGAACTGGCATGCGTTTATGACAGTTGCACTATCCCGGGGTCATGTGATCACCATTTTTAATCTTCTCAGCTGACTTCCAACAAGCAAAGTCTATGAAGGAAGCTATAATGACTGCATGGTTCACTTAATAACTGCAGTGATTTGCTTAATAACTGTGGCAAAAAGGTCATAAAATGGGGAAAACTCTCTTAACATCTGCCTTGCTTGGCAACAGAAATGTTGGGCTCAGTTGTGATCATAAGCTGATGATTACCTTTATCTTAAATGGTTTATAATACTTAATCTCCAATTGCCATGAAATATAAATCCTTGCCTCTGTATTTCAGTCCTCTCAGACTCTACCTCTCTATCGGAATTAGACCTAGATGTAATCATCCTGGAAAGTGTCTCATGGGATTTGAGAACATAAGGCAGCATCTGTTGGGTCAGGATAAAGGTCTGTAAAATCCAAGTTTCTGGGTAACTCTGCAGAAAATGGGATAACATCCCCTTTCCATTTTTAATTCCAACAGCTGGGTGATAAGATTCTAGAGATAATAGACACCCATCAAGACCAAAAGCTATTGAAAGCCTAACATTTATTTTTTAATCATCTCAATATGGCAGGTCTTTCAAAATGATTCAAAATACATATTTTAGCCCTTGCTTGAATATATTTTTTGATGGAGAAAATGGAATCCAGTTTTTTCAAGTTACAATAGGAGCCAGAAAAAAAGTGCTAGAAAGATTCCAATGCTTTAAAGCAGAGATGGGGAACTATGGCCCCTTTATGACTATGGACTTCAACTCCCAGAATGCATTCAAAGAATCTACACTTTATAGTTAAAGCAATTTTAAAAATAGCATCACCTCTTTTTTCAGGTCTATGCACAAACCTAAAAAAAAAAAAAAAATAAGCAGTACCCTTCAGTAAATAGCAGGAGTTGATTTCAGTGAATAGCAGACGATGTAATTTGCAATGTTTCTTCCAAAACATTGTTTTTGAATCATGCATCATTACAATAAAACTAAATCTGATTCCAACCCTCTGGCTCTTTCTCATGATGTAACCCAATAAGTTTGAGACTTATTTCTTCAAAAATACTCCACCAACTGAAACAGTGGAGGAGGACGTTGAAAAAAATATAAGCCCATCAAGATGAGCAGATGAAAAATATTGGTTTTGCCTAGGACTTTATCTCTTTTTTTCTGTTTTGCCCTTGTTAGAGTTATTTCCCCATTTCATTTTGGGGTGAATTAATAACAAAGAGCAACAAATTACTGTTGTACAGCTATAAAATAAAATAACTCAGTATAATTTACCCAGTTCATTTGGATCTTATTTAGTTAGACAATATTTTGATATATTCTACGAATGTCATGTGGATATTAGTGGTGGAGTCACATCCTGGTAGGATTGAAAGTAATGCTAATCAGCACTTTACTTTGCAGAAAGGGGCTTGAAAGAATTACTAATAGTGACCTTTGAAAAAGCAACAATTAAACCTTTTTAAGTGACCTCCAACAGAGTAGAAAAATCAGTTACATCATAAAGGTAGTCTTTAGCTAAATGTCAAACAAAATTGTGTTGGGAACCTTGGGCAGTCTTCAAAGTGTGAGCTTAGGACATGAGTTCACCTAATGGTGTTTTCTGTTAAAATAACATTAATAGAACCCTACTGCCATCTTGCAAATCCAGCAGAAAAGCAGGGATTTCCCCAGCAACTGAATCTTTGATAAGATCAGTACAGTCTTCAAAATTTCTTCAAGGTATAAGTCAATTAAACTCCAATCAAATCGTTAACATATTTATGTTTTTGGAATGAGTCAATGGATAAATCTGGAGAAAATGAATGCAGGTTAAAAACTTGTAAATGCGAGGAATGCAGAACCAATAAAACCTAAAAATGCTTGTTCAAATATTACAGAAAAACAAGTGATTGCCTTCAGCTTTGAAATGGTAACTCCAGGCACAGAATTAAAGGTTGAAAAGGAACGTGAAAGTTATTCCACAGTGTAATTGATAGAACTGCAAAGAAAGAAAACATATTAGGAGTCTAAATGTGGGCCTGGCCATTCATAAAATGTAATGTTGGTCACTAAGTGGAGGTGTCAGTTACCACAGGCTGCTTTTATCTATTGTATGCGATCAATAGCAAATGGACTGACATCACAAAGCACTTCTTGCTCACTGGGCCCAAAATAAGCATTCTCATCAGGATGAACAGCAACCTCCTGTTGGTAATCCAAAGTAGACCTTCAGATCAAAATTATCTGATTAACGGCTTTACATAATGAGTTTTGTGGTTGCTAACATCCTCATTTTTGCAGATGGACATCTGTCCAATCTTAATGGAGACTTCAGTCAATTGGAATTGACACAAACAATTCTTTTTTACCTGAAACAAGGCTTTCATGGAATTCATTATTGCAAGGTGTACCTTTGGAAGCTTCTCCAGGTAGAAAAATTCTGCATGTTAAAACTCAATCAACAATAAGGTTCTTATTTATTTATTTTTATTATTATTAGATTTAATGAAGGAACTCAAGATGCATTCAGACCAGTTTTTCCTCCAACTTTTCCTCACAATAAGAGCCCTGTGAAGTTGGTTGGGCCGAGAGAGAATGATTTGCAAAAACTATCAGATGAACTACTCCATCATGGCAGATGTACTAGTAGGTAGCATGTGTTTAGGACTGAAACACATACATCTCACACACACACACACACACACACACACACACACACACACACACAGGTATCTACATTCATATGAGCATTGGAACAATATCAGTACAAACCCATATATAAAATGAAGTAAGAGTATTACAATCACATGGATTAAGTATCATTTCCATAGGTAAATGCCAAGATAACCAAATCCTTCAATATCTTCTGTATTTTTAGTACCGGTAGTATAGTTTTGTCAGACACTCTGACAGAAGCTGTTCCAATACTCAGCCTTACTTTCCATTTTTTTCAGGTTTTTCAGGCTGAGTGGTGCTTAATTATTGACTTTTCTCCAGTGAAAAAACTATAGCTCTTAGGTAGTCCTCA